ATACGGGTGGCCTTGCGCTGAATTCCAGGAAGGAGGACCTTTCCCATGCCCTAACCCTGAAATTTTGAATAAGTCCATCTCTATTATTGCTATCCCTGTGTCCTGCCAAGCTATCTATCCCAATTCCACGAACTTCGGAGTGTAGGAAGGAATCCAGTAGCTGTGTAAGTTATGTAGGCGAGTGATTCACTAATCGAGCCCCATTCCATGATGGTGATCTGGCTGAAGACTACGAATAAATCAGAAGTTATCGCCCCATTTTTCCCTTTTCGTCAGAAAGACCACTATTGAAAGCTCGAGTGTGGAACTAAAAGGCAAAGTGAAATTCCTTTTTCCCATCCCGTAAGCGAACCTGACATTGGAACATTCGATTTCTCCAGGCATTTGGCTGTTCTTGATCGCAGCGGTTCTGGTGTGATATGGTGGACCACTGAACACTGTTTCACATCACAAGTCCTCCTGCTCTGGTGTTGTGATAAGAATGGCTGGCGGACGGCGCCAGAATAGTCAGAAATTACCACACCAGTCTCTCTTATCTTTACCGTAATAGGTCTTAGTAACTGAGAAGTCTTCACCAGCAAGGATAGGGACCCCGGAAGGGCTAGCTATGACCTATTTGATGTCAATAGACACTGATATCCAGATAGTGGGTTTCACACACGAGATTCGACGCGTGAATCGATGGCTAGTTGTCACGCGACAACCTGCGTGCGTCGTAGACACTCAACTCCAAGGCCAGAGTGGAAATGCTCATTTCCTTTTTGTATTCAGGGTAGATCGGCACACGTCCCGCTCATGCAAACAGCTCTAAGTATCTGTTTGTTAAAAAGCCTCACAGTTTTCGTCTTTAGAAAAATCGGACTTTCGTCACTGCTGGGCATGCGCCCGCTGAAACTTCAGTTCCAAATACCTGACGTCGAAGATTCTTTCTATCTGGTCACTTCTAGTCCTTTCGAAACCTTCGCGATAGGGGCAGACTTCCCTGGAGAAAATCTCTACGCATGAAACTATGGCACTCGCGTTGGAAACGGTGGTGGGTGATAAATTAGGTAGGCGTGACGATGGCCGGAGTGGGGGTGGGGTGAGTGGGGGGGGGGGGCAAAAACAGCTGCGCCTGTCCGCTGAAAAGAAAGTACATGTCGGTTTGGTGGGACTCACACAATGTGGGGTGTGGTAGCCGACAGGCAGGCGCGGCATACAATTAAGGTACCAGCCCCAGCGTAGACGCCGGCCGGCGCTTCAAGGTCGTCTGCGATAAATCCAGCGGGTCTCGCACGTGGGAGCGTGGTCACCTGTGCAGAGCCCTTCGACCCCTAGGGACACCCGTACATAAGAGATAAGCCCCGGGTGAGCTTTGTCGCCACCGTCGTCGTCGTCGTCGTCGTCGTCGTCGTCGTCGTCGTCGTCGTCATCATCATCATCATCATCATCATCATCATCATCATCATCATCATCATCATCACCACCACCACCACCACCACCACCACCACCATCATCATCATCATCGTTATTATTGTCGTAGGCTTTTAATTTCCTAAAAATCTAACTGCCGACTTGGAGAAAATCAGTCTGCTTGAGACTTAAGGGCACAGACCAAAATTTGATATGAGTATTTAGACCACTGATTAGTCGAACCCCTCGCAGCTGTCACACAGTGGCAGAATGTCAACGAAACACGTGTCTGGATTTTAGCTAGTACCCATACTGTAAAGCATGGTATCTCGTGCAACTTCCACATCGTTTTATTATTATTATTATTATTATTATTATTATTATTGCGATGATAGGCATAAATGAGCTCTACTCGGTTCGTCGAAAAAGAGAAGCTTGACATGGGTATTTAAGGACTCCAATGCAAATAAAATCGTATGCGATACCCATTTGTAGTTGGCGTTGAAAGTTAAGAAAGAAGCCAAGATTTCACATAAATAAGGGAACAAAAAAACTTAGAGGGAGGCACGCCTGACAAAAGGTCGTTCATGAGGCTTGTCAGGAAATAAATGATAACAGGTGAATTGAGCTATCCAAACAGGAGAGTAATCATAGGTAACTGACCCTTGCTGGCAATCGGTAAGGCGGTAGACAAAAAAATAACTTCGGTAAAACTGCCGATTGGAAAGTCCGGTGCTGAGGGTGACATTCTGTTGGTAAAATAATGAAGAGAACTGGATAAACGCCGAATTATATGGCAGTTGGCGAAAATGATTAAATATCACGAAGGCAACAAACAGTTCCTAGAAGCTGAAATACTAATCTAACATGTTTAATTAGAAGTTTTCGATTTTGGGTCAAAGAAAAACCTAAGAGCCTCTCAAAAGTGCTTTTCAGTTTCTGAATGGACAATTATATAGTGGGAAAAGCGGAAACTCCGAAAAAAAAACAGATTTCGCATCAAGCACAAAGGTGTAAGTTTAGTAGGTTGCATCTTGCAAACGGTGAATCCTCAACAAAGTCCTTACCTGGCGACCAACTTTCATTGGTGGCTCCCCTCCTCGCTTCAGCCACAAAAGCCCTACGGAGAGAACGACATGCAATCTCATTGGCGACTCGGAATAACTCGGACCGCCCTCCACTAAACAACTCCGTGACCCACAGTGGAGTTTAGCAGCCGTCTGGAAAGTCTAAGCAGCATTACTTGCCTACTTGCCAAGAAAGTACTATAGAAGATGCTTTAAATGACTGCTTGGGAATCACGCAATCTACAAGTGTATCATGACCCGCAGGTGCAAACCACGTGAACGAAGCAAAACAATTAGCATAAAAATCCTTCTTGTTCCAATGGTAGGGGGCGCTCAACGATCGCTCATAAGGAACTCACTCGTTCCGTTGTGCCTTACGGGCTCTCTCTCGAGCCCAACCAGCAGCCGCACAGCGGCGCGTGATATAGGTAGTATGGTATTACCGACGAAGACAAGGGAGACTGGAATAACCATTTCTGGCTTGCTAGCCTTCGTCAGCCAGTCATACCCAACCCCGAAGTGCGGAACACCCGAGGCTCGAACTCGCGACCTGTTAGTTAGAAGTTCACGCCTCTAACCACTGGGCCATGAGCCCGTTGCCCAGTCGATTACGATCGGGAATATACAATGGTAGGGGGCGATCACCGATCGTTCTTGTTCCTCCATCCGCTGACCTGCCGAACAGGCTACTACGGTGCGCCCGCCCACTCTGGCAGACTGGAATGTACATTCCTTTTCGGAAAATTCGAAGAAGAACAAGTCGGAACGGAGGGCGGCGCTAGTTGCTCGAGAACTGGAAGGCTACAAGGTGAACATCGCTACTCTCAGCGAAACCTCCTTCCCCAAACAAGGCCAACTGGAGGAAGAGGGTGCTGGCGAAACGTTCTTCTGGAGCGGCCGCTTAAAGGTAGAGCGACGCGATGCAGGCGTCACCTTTGCCGGAACAAGAAGTGATCACCTCTTCTTCTACTTCATCTGAATTGCTTCCTGGAACTTGCCTGTTTGCTCCTATCAGCAGTAACCTTTGTCATTCGGAACGAACCACTCATGAATCTGCACTTGCCCCTTCGGGGAGACACATTGCCCATCGTTATCTGCGCCTACGCCCTCCAAATGACTACCTCTGATGAGCCGAAGAACAAATTCTACAAAAACGTGCTTGCCGCCTGGCTACTTTACTGAAGGCAGACAAGCTGACTGTCGTTGATGACTTCAGTGTCCTAGTTGGGACAGACTAGGAGGGAAGTTCTGGGTTCCCAAGGGATCACCGGCTGCAACGACAGCGGTTTCCCTCTCCTCTGAATTTAAACGGAACGCTGCCTTCTCCTGACCTGTTCCTTCTTTTGCTTTCCGGCCTGTGCGAAGGTGACTTGAATGCACTCTCGAACGCAGCACTCGCAGCTGCCGGACGTCGTTCGCCTTCGGACGTGAAATCAACAGGACATGCTGGTGACGAAGGCCATCTGCGACTCCTACTGCTGGATTGGCCACCGTCTCGTCAACTCCAAGATGGGGCTCTGACAGCAGCCTCGCGGGAGACCGCATTGTAAGCTACCGCCAGGTCGGTTAAGTACCGTCCGGTCGATTTTGTCAGCTCACAGCTTACATTTCAACAGTCGTCTGACCGAGCGACTGGAATACCTGCAAGCCTCAGATGAAAACGCCATCTTGGAGACACGGTGGAGTCAAGTGCGGTATACTATCTACACTTTTGCCCTGGACGTCCTTAAACGCACATGTCATCAACATCAGGACTGGTTCGAGAACAACGACGCAGTCATCTATGACGTGCTCGCAGAAAATAACGGGTTGCCCAGGGCCTACATCGACCGCTGGACTGACGTGAGGTCAAAATGTATGGGCAATACTATACAGAGCGGATAGCTGAGCAGTCTAAAAGAAACACTCACGGGAACTCAGATACCTCCACCTCAACTGTCTTCGGAGAACCTAGAGCTGAGATGGTAGGACAGAATTCCCACCACGGAGATCTTAGGACGGACCAGAATCCATATCGTCAACGCCATGCAGAACCAACTGTAACTGCGATGGAGCGGCCGCCTCATGAGAATGGACGACGAACAAATACCCAAGCAACTCTTCTACGGAGATTTTGCTGCGGGTGCTCGACAACAAGAGGACAAACTATCCGCTGCAAGGACAGTTTAAAGAACTCTCTGAAGCACTTGCCAATCAACCCGCAATCCTGGGGGACCTTGCCCAGGGTCGACCGGCTTGGAGAAGCGCAGTGTAGAGTGGGACAGCAATCTATGAAGTCAAAGCCAAGAGGACGTTTCGAAAGTCACAAGCGTATCCAACTTATGACGCCAACACCCAACCACTCCCAATGTGCCCACGCTGTCAACGAACATTCCGCGCGCATAACGGACCTGTCGAAGAACTCTGAGCTCAATTCAACAAAATATCGAAAACCCTACATGCTGCCTCAGCATCCGCTCCCATCGTCACCCCTGCACCAGCATTCTCCCCCCCCCGAATTAACGATGACGTCCTCCCTCACCACCGGTTATCAAAGTCCCAATGCCCCGTCGTCGTCGTCGTCGTCGTCGTCGTCGTCGTCGTCGTCGTCGTCGTCGTCGTCGTCGTCGTCGTCGTCGTCGTCGTCGTCGTCGTCGTCGTCGTCGTCGTCAGCCGCCCCCCTTTCATCCCTGCAAAAACTCCCGCGACGACTACCAGATATCCTACTCCCGCCACCGCGTCGCCAATTTCTACTCTCACTATCACCGTCCCCACCACTGACGTGAACTCGGTCCCAGCCTGTTCCAATCGCGATCGCACATTCGCTTCGCGAATCGGCTTGGTCGGTTAATTGAGAATCCTTTCGCACAGGGACTGGTGAATCAGTGCCTGCAGCGCCTAAATAACCCGTCGCAACCGTCCCAACTGCTCACACTACCTACGTACATTTAGTCATCGCATAGGCCCACTTGATCGCATGAGCCTTCACGAAATTCTGCGGTAAATCACTAGACCACATCATCACACATTTCCCCCACCAACACATGCACCAAACATGAAAATCTCCAACATCACACCAGGCACCTCTCACTTAAGTAAGAAGTGTAATTCTCGGCTCTATCTTCATGTGCCACCTCTACTGAATGTGAGATCCGAGCAGTTCACTGCCTTTAGGTAAAATTCTGGTGTTTTGTATGGATCGTGTGGGCGGCACACGCAGGCGGACTCTCCTTAGCTCTGCCAATCACTTCTCCCAATCTCAGCATCAGTTGGTTGGCCGGGCCGAACAGTCGGCTGATGCACGGGAAAACAAAGAGGAGGTGGGGTTTTCTCTCTTCACTATAAATAATCTGAAGCGTTCGAGACCACCACGGTCCGCTAGAAGCCGTGGCTTGGAAGGCTGTCTACAGACGATTTAAATCGGGCGTCGCAGTCAGCCCAGTATAGGTGGAGCGTTGTGCGTTGATGGCGGATTCCTGCGACGTCAGTCACCTGCATCCTCTCCCACCTCCGGTCCTCTAGACTCTGCCATGACACGGGGCCCAGGTGGGATAGGGTGTGAAAGGACAGTAGATGCCGCGCAAGTCTACTATCGCTACGAACTAATTCATGCGTAATTCACCCTCCATTCGTCCACTCTGCTGTAAGAAATTGTAGGAATCGACGATCGAACTGCCACTCGCACTTGTTTAGCCACCTCTAGAGTGCGTGGTATCGCGAGACGTTGTGAGTCATGCCTACCGATCGCCGCCTAGAGCCCCAATAGGCGTTCACTTAAGGTTACATTCCTCAACACTGAAGTCCGTTGAGCCCTGAATAATATGCAATTTCATAGATGTTTTGGCAGATTTTTGAATGATTAATATTTATCCCGCTGTGAAAAACTCGGTGCCTCGATGGGATTCGAACCCACGCAGTAAGGGGAAGGCTTCAGTACAGTCAACGCTCTAACCACTTGAACTACGAGACCCCGCCGGAGGAGGCAGTAGGATGGGCGGGTAATTTGACCCAAATGTGATTAGACTCGGGTCGTCCGGCGGGGCTCGTAGCAAAAATGAATCAAATTCTTTAGGGATCCTCAAGCAACTTAAGTACCCTTTCGAAACCTGGTGTTGGCTGCCTCCTGGACGTTTGCTCCAGAACATTCCAGAAATCAGTCACAACTGTCGCACCGAAGTCTTTATGAGTCAGGTTTATCTGTTACTTAGTTTCAGTCCACTTCAGACATTTCTATTGTCAATGGGAAGAATTAAAAAAGGCCCTCATGAAGGTGGTCATAGATCCTTACAACGGACCACGCAGGTGTTTGGCTGGATCAGCGTGGAGGCCAGACCAGGATACGATATGCCTTATTAAGCTGTGCACTAGTGGATGTGTTAGCACGCCTTTGTACGGGCCCGCGCCCAATCCCGCCTCTGATCTTTGCGACTCTGCCTTAACACCAGCCCAACCAGGACGATTTAAGAGAGGATGCGGAGAATGCAGCGGAAGTCTGCTATCAATATAAACTAACTCATGCGGAAGTCACCTGTCCTGCGCCCGCCATGCTGCTGGCCACACAGTGGACGTCGTCGGTAGCGACCGGTCTAGCTGCCGCTGCGTTAAGCTGGATTTAACGACGCAGACAACAACTGACATTACGTTGGTAATTGCATCTTTTAGTCGTATGTAGACACTTCGTAGAGGGATTCTTCATTTAATCAATAACATGATTATCGCAAACCTCCACTATTGGTGTCGTTTCTCTTCAGTAGTTAGCTTCCAGACTTGCGCGAGTCCACACCTGTGACCAAAATCGTCATATGTATAAAGAAGAGTGTCTGAGAACTCAAGACGTTGGTAATATCTTCCAAGGACTGCCTTGATGGAAGTTTTGATAATTCTAATTTGCAGACATCAACTATTCGGACGATACATTGAGAATACTAGGAACTGAAGCGTATTAACTAATATTTCAAGGACCCCTCGAAGCTCGACAGGCGCCAAGGTCGCCAGAGAGCAAACAGTAATTTTGGCAAAAAAGTATCCCATGGATACACAAAAAGGCATATTTATGATATTAGCTGCTCATCATCTCCGAATCTCTTAGACACTGACAGACCTCACGACATGTGGCCTTTTAAAACCCTTATTTTGTGACGGTCCTTATCTGCGAACTCAAGTCGGCTCCTCTTCGCTGTATTCAATCGCATTTCAAGTTACACAGGAGAACGAATTACATTGAAGTCTCATGAAATCGTGTTGAAACAGAAAATAAAACATCAAGCAGTCAAATAGCTCCCATGCTGATTTTCCGGTCAGTTGTTTCCATGGAAAGGCTTTATTGACTTCTGCAAATGAAGTTATCTCATCTAGTACGGAATTCCGCGTCCTCGGAACTTTTGATTTTCACGATAAAGTTGATGTTTCTAGCCAGAAGAATTCCACTTTCAATGCATGCTTTGAGTTTTTATTTAATTGAAGTTTTGGTGGGTACATGTGAGCCGGTTTCTCACCAATTAAAAAGTGTTGGTAAATTTGTGCTTATTTCACGAGTTAAGTCACTCGCTTTGGGCGCATCTATCGAAAACTTGCGACCGGGTTCTTCATAGTACCTGCGTTACAGCAAACAAGGTGAATTTGCCCGTCTTTGCCGAAGAAAGCCAGTTTGACATACAGCCTAGTGGTAAGGTGTACTGGACTATTATTGGGGATCGTAGGAATATGGCGCAGATGGAGTCCCACCTGGCTTTTGAGTAGGAACCTCATCTGCAGGGCTACGACAATGGGCGAGTTCTTACTGGATGGCGTGTAACTTCTTTGTATCGTAATAGCCCTGTGGCTTATGATCTATTTATCAGATCCTACTCTGGCCATTTTCGAGGTGCTGCTTATACATGGTCTTCTACTGTTTATCCGTCAGTTTGGGGGTCCGTTATGCGCAAACCTTTGCTGGAGACCGTTTCGATATCCCGAGTCAGTGTTGCTGTTACGTAGCCCAGAGCTAAACTAACAGATAGGACCGCCCTTTCTATGATTTTCGCTCTCCGAAATGAACTGTGAGGCCAAGGAGACTGGCTTCCTAGTTCCCTACATGCGCTGCGTTGAAAGAAGCGCCTCATGCAAAGATATGTTACATGATCCTGTATCCTAGCTAAAGTGTCCTGTCATATTTTTTTGCCTCAATTCTTCCCACCTACCAACACGTGCTCCTTCCTTTTTTTATCCGAACACAAATGTTTCAACTAAAAATGGGGAATTTGACTTATTGGAAAACATCTCGTCATTTTCTGCCATGGTAAGAAGACAAGGTCCGCGAACCAATACTTGCCAACTTGACCGCAGCAGTTGTAACATTAACCGCTCTTGCCTCAATGCTGGACATCCCATGTTTTTTTAAAGTCACTCTTTGTGAGCGTTAGTCCGTAAGGAAAGGATTCGTTGTGCAGCATAGGTGCTGGCGTGAATGCCCACCCGCCACTCACCTCCGCACGAATTGGTCTCCATCCGTCTACTTATTTTTCGAAGGCCTGGTACATATCTGTAGGGCTGGATCGTGTGTGGCCCGCATAGACGGACCGTCTATTCCTTCCAGTCGCTGTGGCTGAGCACACCTGGCGTTGCCCGGACTCTGTCTCGCCACCGGAACTAGGTGGGTTAGGGAGGAGATACTGCGCCAGATGCCTCGTAAGTTTGCTATCACTATAAACGAATTTACGCGCAAGTCACTCTCATGCATTCACCTCATTTTTGGACGCACGGTGGGCATCGTCGTGTGCAATGACCGAATTGGCACAGTAGTGAGCCAGCTGCCTCATTTTGACCAAACTTCCCTAGGATTAGGAGCCAGAAATGCTTCTTTTTTCATTTCTAGGTGACAATGACGAGGAAAGGGATGATGCCAATCTATTTTCTGATTAGGGATAACGCCGGGATAGGTGTTCCCGCATGGTCACTGGGTTTGGAGCTGGTCATTTACCGAAATGGGACATACTTAGAAGATGCGTAAACGGACATATCACTAGCTACCTTTAAGAAGGAAGTCTCTTTCATTAAATTACTGCATTGATTCCGGTGACGGAGGACGACGAGGGGCATCAAGACGTTCACAGGTGATGGCTTTGGAGGGGGGGGGGGGGGGTAATGCATATGCCCTAAACATGCAGGATGAGACGGAAGACACCAGCAGCGAGCCTTGTTTTACGCGGAATCGGAAGTTTCCGCAAATGGGGAGAATGATTGGCGACAGGGGGCAATGACAACTGGAGAGGCCAGGGCCTGTGCTGACAGCGTTAAGTGGCGTCTGAGAGAGAGGTGGCGAGAGAGAGAGAGAGAGAGAGAGAGAGAGAGAGAGAGAGTAAGGCGTTGGCTGCTTTTGTAGCAGCGTCAGAACCAGCTAAGATTGCTCAGGTGCATGTGACGCTTACCGAATTACACGAGGGGTGGTCCCATCGGGTTTCGCTGATGTGCTTTGGCCCAATTAAACCTTGGGCGGCTATAACTGCCTGGAGGCACGTGCGTGTTGGAGTCAGTTGAGTTGCTGCAAGTCAATGAGTCTGAAAGAGGGTGGGGTGGCATCACCACAGAACCATCTATGATGACGGCGAACAAAATGGAGATGTCCAAAGCCCGAAACGAAGAAGATGGGTGGTACAATAATGAGGGCCGTCTACAATTCCCACCAAACACTTTACGTATTCAACGTCGAAGGCGGAGAAACAGTGAAAAAGTGGGTCAGTGCACATGCAGGTTGGAGACCGGTTGTCGATTGTGCGGGGGTCTGCATGAACACAAAGGAATGA